GTCGGCTCTGTGAACACGTCCAGGTGGAAACAGACGAGTTTTGCTTCATGTGGAAAAACTCAGAGTATCGGAAACAACAACAGTGTCGTGGAAATAAAAAAAAAAAAAAAAAAAAAAAACACTGATAGTTGTGCAATTTTACTGATCCACAAAAAATACATTCAACTGCAAACACACAAACATGCACATGCATTTATATCTTCTAATGACAAACCACCAGGTCACGTTAACACTGCTGGGATACAAACCTAAGAAAGAGGAGACCAGACACTGTGGGAATCAGTTGTGCATCAGTGTGCTTTTCCAAACTGTGTTTACACTTTGATGTTTGCAGCCGATTACAGCAGCTCCTGATAAAGGCCCGCACTGTTTCTGTTTCCTGTGTAATCAGATTTAGTGAACAGCTGTAATGAGACTGTAATGATGCAGTGTTACTGTGCAGGGGGAAAGCAGATTGTTGAGCAGAGGCTGCGAGAAGGAGGCAAACAACTCCCGTCTGATCCTCCCTGACATTCGATCCAAAGTTGTTGTCATTAGCAGATTTTTATTCCTTATTTATTGAAAGATGTTGCTTAACGTGCTGGTTCTTGTTCAGCAGCAGAATACCTTAATGTTCTCAAGCATCCTGATGGATTCACGACCACAGTCTGGATTCACCGAGAATGAAATTCACATGAAAATATACCGGGCACCTCATGCTACCAGGATGAAACATCCTGAGACCTTTCCTCTGTGTCAATATCACTCTGATCTTTGAATCCTTCATATCTGCTGACCCGCTGCTTGTTAATATTTTCAATGCACATTTACGATCCCGTCAGGAAGCGACCTATCGATTCTCATACGACCCCCATTTCAATTCATGTTGCAGTCTTGCTCAAGGACTCAATGACAGTGGGTTTAACACAGTGCTGCTGAATTGATCAAACTGATGAAGATGTTTTTTGCATGTATTCATTTGCAGTGCGTTGAGCTCTCTCACGTCATCGTACGATTCAATAATAGAAAGATTGGACACATAAGAGAGATGAGTCCTCTGGACACGACCGGATAAACCAACAACCAATCAGAGTAAGGACACGTGTGACGTAGCACAGACATCTTTAAAGGTTGTCGAAGGCTCATAGGAATCATCGCCTCTTAAAAGTAGATTCTGCTGGAAAGAGGGAAACCACAGAGGAAAATAAAGAGGACAAAGGGAGAACTCTAAATATTATTTTCATTTCATTTTGTGTGTGTTTGCCCTTTGATCCCATCATATTGATTCCTGCTCTTTTCAGCAAGAAATCAAATCATCCGTCAAATGAAACTCTCAATCGTGGAGTCCTCTCCCTCTCATCTCCACCTCCATCAACATAGTGATCGTTGCATTGATCAGTGCCAATAGAATGACGGGGTGTTTTTAAGCCTCGTCATTCCCTCCTCTCGTATTGATTTCACTGCTTCTTGTCATTCATCCGCTGTAATCAGAAAAATCTTCTTTTTCATGAAGTCCACGTTCGGAAAAAAGAAAAAAACGAGCTGAAATATCAAAGATGCATTTGTCCATCTTCTTCCAGACTGTCTCTGTTTGTCTCTCCCTGAAGAATGTCTGATACATTTTTAATGACTGCCTGTATTCAGCTTTTTCTGCTCGTCCCTCTCTCTCTCAGCAGAGACACAGAGTTTCTCTCCCGGTTCTTTTGGGGGGGGGGGGCAGAAATGTATCCACTAAATCGGACCTGCTGGTGCTCATCTATCATTAATGATGTCTCACCATGTTCCCTCTGCAGTTTTTCAGATCAGGCTTTATCACAGCTCGAGTATGCAGATTCACAGAAGTTTTCTAATGAGACGGGACCTCGCTGTGATCCTCTCTGTGGGAAATCTGTCAAAATCCAAATATTCACAACAGCTTTATTTGGTCTGTTGCTCGCTTCTCTTAGCTCCGGTCAAAGAAAGAAAAAGAAGCTTTGTACTGAGAACAGAACATCTCATTTTTATTCTCGTGTCTCCTCCTCTGCTTTCTCTGTTTCAGGTGGAACTTCATCCACGGAGCTGCAGCGTCTCGCTTCCCTCGGCAGCCTGTTGGACGATCAGCACTGGCACCATGTCGTACTGGAGAGAGGCGGCTCTCACCTCAACCTCACTGTGGACAAACACGCGCAGAGGGTTCAAATCCCTGCACAGTTCGGCCACTGGGACATCGGACAGGTGCCATGAAACAGAATGCAGCATACACAGAGTCTGAATGCACATACAGGACGAGCGTAAAATGTGCAAAACAACTCCAGCTACAGAATAACAGTAGATATTTTACTTGTATTATTGTATTTGCGTGTAGCCGTCTGTGTTTCTGTGCCCATGCAGCTGATTTTTGGGACGGTACCGAGCCTCAGCTCTCAGAAACCAATCGTCTCCAGGAAGAACTTCCACGGCTGCCTGGAAAACCTGCTGCACAACGGACTCAACTTGATAGAACGAGCGAAACACAACGACCCACAAGTGACTCTCATGGTGAGTTCATTCAGCTCAACACACACACTTAGTCCAGTCGTCATCAAGGATTCTGGGAACTTAGCTTGATGTTTGCCAACTATACATTCAGCTAAAGTAACACTAATAATCAAAAACCCTGAGAAGGTGTTGAACCAGGGTGTTTGTATAGAGACAGGTGACGCAGTGTGAACATCATGTACAGAAGAACAGCAGCTTTGTGTTTTTAAAGTTAGGCCCTGATTTAATGCTTCGGGCTGCTCAGCTTTTTATGTGTGAGGAAGCTGGAGTTAAGATCTGCAGGTTTGCCTCTGAGTGTCTTCCTCCATTAAATCCCTGTTAAACCACTTTCTCGTTGAAACCAGTTTTCAGGAGACTTAAATAGAAACTTAACACAGTTTTCTCATTGGTCGCTTCCCTGTGTCTCACACTGAGATTTAGTTTCAGTGGTTGAAATATTGGTTCACCCCTCACATCTGTACGCTGCCTCGTGAGCCGCTGGCTGGTTAATGGAGCCAGGACAAAGTACTGCAGAAAGTTAGACTCTCACTAATGCCTCCTTATCTCGGCCATTAGGACCTTCACATGTTTCTAAATGCACAATGAGTGCATCGTGTGGAGACTATAAAGAGAGAAATAAATACTCTCTTGTTACAGCGAAGGTCCAGACTCCAGAAAAAAACACATGAAGTGTCAGGAAAGAGGAACACAGATTCTCATGCATGGCTGAGGACGGTAATTCTAATGGTGCTGTGGCTCTTTAAGGTACTTTCTGCAAAGTAAGGACCGACTGAGAGACGGAGATAAGATGCATAGAGCGTAACAAAGAAAACTAGAACTGCACTCTGAGCACATACCTTTCCTCCAAGGTTGATTGGCCACTTAAGCATCATCCCCGCCATCAGATACGTAAACCATGCACAGAGAAAGGTTCTGCAAACGTTAAATGCAGGAAAATATCCATTCTATGACACAGCGGAACAGAATATAACCGCACCGTGTAACTTCATCACCCCACAAGATTCACAAAATCCAGAGCTTGGATGGAGGCTCAGAGTTTTGCTGCCGGAGTCTTGAATTTTACTTTTTGTTGTGGAGCAGCAGATCTCACCCCAACGGGAATCATTGTTGGTGACTGCACCACAAAGTGCTTTCAGACGTCGTCTGTGTTTCCAGAGCATGACCAGGACGGCAGAACAGAGCCGGGGCTGTAATATATTGTGTTACTGCTGCAGCTTTAACCACAGACCTGGTGGAATTACCACCTTTGAAAACATAGAACTGTATTGGGGATGTTCTCAGCACACTATCTACTCTCCTGCTTTCATTGTCGGTGTTTATCTCTCCTACATCACAGGTGACTTTGGTATTTTCAGTTTGCCTTCTTAATCATATTCCGAGCTTTGCTGTTATCATTATGGTAATACCTGTGTCCTCTTTAAGGAGACTTGCTGATGAGATCACTGCGACATGAGGTCACATCGACACGCCCTCTGCAACTGATTAATATTCATGTTTTACGTTGTTTTATCTGTCTAGTCATCATTTTCCTGCCACACCTCCTCTCTCACTCCTCTCTGCATCTCTCCATCTCAGGGCAATGTGACCTTTGCTTGTGCTGAGCCAGTTTCCGTCGCCGTGACGTTTCCGGGCCCCCAGAGCTTCCTCCAGTTGCCGGGGGCGCTGGCGTCCACTTCGTCGGGCGTGTCGGTTGAGTTCCAGTTCCGCACGTGGAACAAGGCGGGGCTTCTGCTCACCTTTGACCTCCCTCACCAAGGGGGAGTGGTCTGGCTGCACCTGAGTGACGCCAGACTGCGGCTGCAGGTGCAGAAGGCTGGCAGGGTGCTGCTGGAGCTCAGTGCAGGTCAGTCACCACCCCGACCCTTTAGTCGCCATTATCCCCGACACCTTCCTCCACCACTTAAAACCAACAAGCAAACCATTACACTCGTACTGTTTTCTCTTAACATTCTCTAACAATTGCAACAAGAAGATTATTTACCTCATTATCTCCTGAACTGTGCCAAAGCTGGGCTCGCACGACATCGTGGCAGAAGGCTGCAGTCGATGGCACAGTATGATGATGGGGGGTGTTCCAGAGCAAAGCATTGACAGGGAGAAAAATAGAGCAGATAATGAGATATTGATCTATTCGCTCAACTCGGAGCTGCAGGAACATGATGCAGGTCAATGACACGGAGGAGGCAGGAAGTGAAGACACTGTTTTCCTCATCATCTATTTTGCGATTTTATGGTTTAGCCAAATAATGTTTTATTGTGAGAAAGACATGAATAACAAACTGTTCCCATGATGCAGCTTGGTGCCTGTGTAGCTGTGGAGTGACCGTGTATGTAATTAGTTTTTTACATGCTTCTTCTTCTCCCTGGAACAAAATCTTGGAACATCTGCTGCCGGTCTTAATTGCTCCGCGTGGAGCCGCGAACACATGAAGACAAAGTCATCAGATTTCAAGCAGTTTGTGTTAATGACTTTTTTGGTTCCAAGGTTCTGCTCTGAATGACGGTCAGTGGCACTCAGTGGAGCTCAACTCCAGAGGAGGACGTGTGACCGTCGCTGTGGATGGAGAGGAAGGAGGCGTCGCTCACGCCAGCCTCTCATTTCCTGTCACCACAGGAAGTCATCTCTTCTTTGGGGGTGAGAGCGAAATACACTGTGTCGCATTGTGAGCAAATAAAACATCGTCCTCTTATTAAACCACATGTAAATACAGAAGATGTGGATTTTTAATTAGACTCACTCAGATATTGTTTATACAAATTCTCGTCACTGGTCACAAATATTTATTTTATCTTATAATTGTATTTAATCTGTATTTAATCAGGCATCCAGGCCATTTCATTTCATCTGAGACCAGGAGACATTCAAAATCAGCAAATAAATACCACAACACAGAGCTCATAGATAAAACCATAAAAATAAAACGTGTGCATGTAAATTCACTGAAATCTCCCAGTTATATTTGTTTTATTTGTCATGTTAGTTCATATTGTTGTCTTGTGTATTTAACTGATAGCTCTCTCTCTTCGGGTCAGGTTGTCCGGCTGAAGACGACCGTCAGGAGTGCAGAAACCCCTTCAACGTCTTCCAGGGCTGCATGCGTCTCTTCAGTCTCCACAACCAGAACGTGGATCTCATCGCGGTGCAGCAAAAACATCTGGGCAACTACAGCAACCTGCACATCGACATGTGTGGAATCATCGACAGGTCGGTTTCCAAAGTAACTGTGTGTGATGTAAACCTGCACTAACGTCCTGCACCGAGAGCTTCATCACGTCAGGACTCAAACCGGCGTGACGTGGAAACAATCCTGATGACTGTAACTCTAACAGGCAGAAATGAGCCTTTCTGCAAACACCAACTGCTGCCAGCTGTTAAACCTGTGGGTGGAAATATTCTGCTTTGTGGCTGTGGCGGCTACAGAAGAACAGATTCCAACTCTCCATCTGGAGATAGAATGTGCTCGACCTATATTCTCATCTTCATCAGAGATGTCCGCGAAGATTAAATGTTGTAAATCCATGTCGGATGGTAACGAGGTTGATGACAAAAACCTTCAAAAGTGTGATTCCAAAAGATTTTCATTAAAGCTGCCATAGAAACTCGTGATTAACATTAGATGCACTGAAATGAATGTGTTGGACTCAGACCTCGTGATGAAGAGCTTCAGTGCGATTCATCGTTGGATTTTAAGATGATGAGTGAAAGAAGCGAATCATCGACGACAATCCAGCATCGGAGCAATAACGTCAGCCTCGGGAGATAAGAGAGGCAGAGAGAGCAGATCCAATCGTTTGCTGTCCTGGTGTCTCGCCAAATATCTGCAATTAATTAATGAGACAATTACACCAATTATAAACTCGCCTCGAGGGCACAGCCCACACACACATACACACACACATAAACACACACACACTGTATTAGGTAAACACGAGCAGACTTATTGAACCAGCCGCACATATTTGCCTGATATATAGGATCCGCTCCAGTGATTTTAATTAAATGTCTAATTCTTTCTGAATTCATTAGATTAATATTCACTACACTAACACAGTTCATGCACAGATCTGAGTGTTCGCTAGAATAAGACTAAAAAATAAATAAATAAATAAAGAATCTGATTTCCAGGAAAGAAAGTAAAAATCCCGAATGTTCTCACTGTCGCTCTGCTGATTGAATTTTGGGCCCCGGGGGAAACATATTGTGCTGGAAAGTCAGGTGGAAAATGGACTCACCATCAATGTGTGGTCATTCTCCAGAGCAGGTTGTGTGTTGGTGGTGTGTGTGTGTGTGTGTGTGTGTTATTATTGCTGCCAGTGCCAAAGAGCATTACTATCGAGAGCAAACACTCCATTAACGGCACAAATGGAACTCAAACCCACAAGGATCCTCTTTATCAGTTCAACACTTTGTCTCATACCAGAGGGCGAGAACGTCTCTCCCGTCCACGCCGCATTATTAAAAACACACATCACACAAACGTCTCTGATGTGATGTTAACGGAGCAGCTTTCCTCCGTGTCTGCTGTCAGATGGTAGTGATGATGATGATAGTCTCGGCTGATTTAGGCCAAAAAACTATTTGCCCAAAGAAATGATGGTCGTCATTACAAAAGATCAGTAAAAGATTTTTTAGTTTTTTTGTTCATGAATTATGTATAAATTGCCTCACGCTCCCAATCTGACCCTCTCGCGCACACACACACACACACACACACACATCACTGTCGTTGTCTACTCGAGGTTTTTAATTCCTAATGAAAGCATGGGGCACAGTGTGAGGGAGGAGAGGAACAGGGGTTTTCTGCAGGGTTTCACATACTGTGATCAATGTGTATAACTTTTGGTTTCAGAATTAATTGGCTCGCATGACGCTGCAGCAGGAGGCGGAGGACTTTCTGTTTAACGCTCCGCTCGCTGCCTCGGGGCTGAACACTGAGATTCTGTGAAGGACATTTCAGTGGATTTGTGGCTTAGATGAGACTGTTTGTTGCATGAAATGGAAATTTACCGGTGATCTGCGTGTGTCGCTGTGTTGTTTTCGTTTCTGCGAGATAAACTGTTTGTCAGATACAATCAGTGTTGTATTTTTAATACAGTTTTATTAAAAGGTTTGAACGCCCCTGGGCATTTTTTATATTTTGCACATTTTTGAAGAAAAAAGGAGTAAACACAAATCCTGCATGAAACAATAATGAACCCTGCTTCCATTCCTGGCTTTCTATGTTGAGCTGCTGTCAGGGAGCAGGAGGAACACACAGCACGACAGGCGATGTCATCAATATCTGTGACAACGTCCTCCGCAGCTTCCACATACTTAATGATAAAGTTTTCAACCTCATCCTCATTAATTAAAAGTCTTGGATTTGAACCCACAAGGAGTTGAATCCATTGCATCTTCCTTCTGTTTCCTTTTATTATCTTTTCCACAGTTTGTTGAGGAAGTGTTTAGTGGATTTCTGTGTGTGTGTGAGAGAGAGAGAGCTAAACTCTGCTGTAGGAATCGGTTGGGCCTTGAATCTCTCTCTCTCTCTCTCTCTCTCCCTCTCAGGTGTTCCCCCAGTCGTTGTGAACATGGCGGCCGCTGCAGTCAGTCCTGGACCATCTTCCACTGCAACTGTTCGGACAGCGGCTACAGCGGAGCGACCTGCCACAGCTGTAAGTCGCCCCGCTGTCACCACAGACTTTGGGGCATTTCAACAGAATTGTTTGCATTCACAGAAAAAAACTTTTATATCACACTAAATGAAAGAAAAACTGAAAAACCTGTCTCCTTCAAATGTTGGAGAATGAATGAAACTCTTGCTTTAAATCACTTTTGGAAGTTTTTAATATTTGACAGAGATGAGAATCTTTCCCCGACATCTCAAAACATAACCATGAAAAGCTTCATCTTCTTCTTCTTCATGTGTGAATATAAAAAACAATCATGGCGGCATTACATCCAAGATTTATTTTTTATCGAGGTGCAAATTGGAGACAAGGTTGAGAGAGAGACAGAGAGAGAGAGGACAATAGAATTAAAGTTAGAATCAATTCAGAGATAGAATGTGAGAAAGTGCAGTAAAGGCAGATAATGAATTTCCTTTTACATGCAGAGAGGCAAACTGAGAAGAAAACGTTACTTACAGTATAAAATAACAGTGAAAGAGTACAGGGATGAAAAATGAACGAATAAACCAGCCTGTGATGAACGTGCTGTGTTTCTTTCATGCACACGTCAGTTCTCATCATGTAAAAGCTTTTATAAGTTCACAGAACAACTGTTTACAGTTTGAACTTGATTCCTGCGGTTGTCGATCACAGATGCACTTAGCAATACGGTTGAGTTGTATGTCTTTTCCCCTGTGGAGCAGGAGCTGCAGATTGTGAGTTATATAAGAATAAAAAAAGAATACATCCTGGATACAGGGAGACATAAATAAACACTTAATGAGCAGCAGGTGGTATAATTCATAATGTTCTTTAATCCTGTTGCAGAATATTTATACTCTTAGGGACAACACGGAGGTTAATGTGTATTGGCCGCGTCCTTCAGAGAATAAATCTGAAGACTGAATGCATCTTTCCATCCACGAGAAGGTGGAGGAAGACAAGTGGCTCGAGGAGGTTATTGAGTGTTTGTATTCCCATCAGCCATTGCTGTCCCCGTCAGCTGGACCGATCTTTCTGTGACGCTGCTGTAAAAATAAAACCTGAGGATTTTCTCTGGTTGTGATTCAGCGGTGACACATACACAAACCCCCATAATCCTCCACTGTGCGATCATCCCCTCACAGCTCCTGCGTATCAGTGTGTTTTGATGTTGACGTGATGCGTCTCGTTGTGTTTTTTCCTCACAGCTGTGTACGAGCAGTCGTGCGAGGCGTACAAACACAACGGCAACACGTCGGGTCATTTCTACATCGACGTGGACGGCAGCGGATCAATCAAACCACAGCTGGTCTACTGCAACATGACAGGTGACTCTCTCTCTCTCTCTCTCTCTCTCTCTCTCTCCTTCATCCTCCCATCATCACTCAAAGTTCTGTACAACGAACATTTACATAATCGTAAATGAAGTCGCTCCTCTCATCATCTCCGACCCACTTCATCCTTCATCTTTCTTTCTTGCATCGTCTCACATCGTTACTCCTGTCTCTCTGTGTTTATATCACGATGATGTAAAATTCTTTAATATTCATTTCTCCGTCTTTACGACTTTTACCCGATGATTGTTGATCATCGCAGCGGACGACACGTGGATGGTGATCCAGCACAACAACACGGACCTGACCAGAGTCCGAGCGTCACCAGGTGTGAACCAACGCCTGATTCACTTTGACTACTTGACTGGAGAAGAGCAGCTGATGGCTGCTGTCAGCCAATCAGAGCACTGTGAACAGGAAGTGTCCTACCACTGCAGGAAGTCCCGCCTCCTCAACACTCCAGGTAAGTGTTGACAGTTTTTTTTTTTTATGAATCCAGGAAAGAAAGTGTAGCTCACTGGGTGGAGGAGGCACAAACGTTACAGCAGGTAATTCTACTTCTAATCATTATGTTTAAGATGGAACCATTAAATCCTGCTTCTTTTACTCGTTGTGCTTCCACTGAATTTTATTTAAAAACAGGAGTTATGGGCCGAATATTAAATGTGTAATTGTTCTGGAGAAAACAATCCCGTCAGAGACAAAAGAAAAGAATTGTTATGGTCATTGCTGCAAATTTAATCAGGCTCCAAGGTTTTTGTTCTTCCTCTTTTACCAGAGAGTCAGACAAATAGATCGTGTTGGATTGATTTCAGACGGAGCATCGACTCCAATTAGTTTGTCTGTGTTTTATTTCGTTTTGCTTCCTAAAAGTTATTTCATGTCATTAATTGACCTTAATGCCGTGACTCCGTGTTTAGAAATGGATTTTTCTTCCCTGCGACAAAGTGAATAGTAACGAGAACCGTTATAAACACATCACTTTTGCACGGTGTTGAAAGGCAAAGGGATGATGTCGTGATATAAATCTTCCAGTCAAGAAATTTAGCATGAAAACAAAGATGGAAAGTTTAACAGCAAACAATAGATGGATTGAGGAAAGAATAGAGGAAGAGACAGATGGATGAGCGGGGGAGTATTTTGTTTTTGTCTCAGTGTCGCTTAAAAAGTAAAGAGAAACACATGAACAACAACTGGAGTAAAGACGTATTATAAACTTTATTTTTTATAACACAACATGCAGCTCAAAGTTATTTTCATAAAAGAACAGCAGAAGCTAAAAAACAGAAGATTTAAAAATAATTAAATGTGTGAAAAAAGGCTTCGAGCAAGTTTAAGATCGCAATTAAAGAAGAGACGTGGTTGAATTAAATAAAAAAAAGTTTTGAGTGGTTTTTTAAAACATGTCTGCAGAGGAGGCACAGGGAAATAAAGGAAATAATGAAGGAAATAAAAAAGAAGCAGAAGTTATAATGTTTTGTCCAGAGTTTTATTATAAAAGCTGAGATAAACTTGGCAGCGTTTCTAAGGAGAAATGAAGTGAAAGCGCCACTGAAGAGAAAGTCTCATGTTTCTATTGAAAGTTGTATCTGCGGTTTAAGACCTAATGCTATATTATTATTATCAAGGTATTTTACATGTTAAACTGTAACTGTGATATTTTGGAGGTAAATCTCCGACACGTTATCTTGTCATAGATCACGTTCTTGTGTTCTCTGTGTGTTTCAGAGGGCTCTCCGTTCAGCTGGTGMCTCGGTGGTCCAGGCCCCGGTCATCTGCAGACGTACTGGGGCGGAGCTCAGCCAGGCAGCCGACAGTGCGCCTGCGGCCTGCAGGGCGACTGTGTGGACCCCCAACACTACTGCAACTGTGACGCAGACGGCCTGGACTGGTGCTGAAAACAATAAACTATAAATATGTTTCATTGCTTATCACCAATGAGTGCTGTTGATCTATCATTCTTCTGTCACGAGTCCAAACTGTTGTGGCGTCGTCCTGCCTCTATTTTTACAAACCTGCCGCTGCTGCTCTTCAATATTTCATGAGACTGACAAAGTGCTTCCAAGCCTGAATGTATTTTTACCTCCGCTCAGCAGCAATACACAAAAAATACTGCACAGATTCTCACAATGGACGATGTACGTCATTAAACTTCGGCGAGGATTTTAATTTAAGAGACGGATCCAGGAATCCCTTTTCTTTGACATTACAAGAAAGGACATTTCTGGTCATTCTCTTTTATTTCTCTGTGAATAATTCATGGACTTTTATGAGGGGAAAAAAAATCCTGCATGTTTAGAGGCCGATATTTATGATTGTTGTGTACGGAATAAAAATCTGAATGGAGCAGTTTTGTTCATTCTCTTAATGTTTGTTTCCTGTCTCCTCCAGGGCTGAAGACTCGGGCCTGCTCACCCATAAGGAGAGCCTCCCCGTCAGGTCTCTGGTGCTGGGTGACATCCAGAGGCCGGGGTCAGAGGCCGCCTACAGGGTGGGACCGCTCCGTTGTCATGGAGACAGTAAGCCCCTGACTGCAACCATGCTTTGTTTCTTCTTTTAAAAAACTTGTCTTTCAGCTAATCAGCGAGAGGGTTTCTCGTGTTTCTATCAGAGAACTTGTGGAACGCCGCCTTTTTCGACAAGGAGACGTCGTACCTCCACTTTCCCACCTTCCACGGAGAGCTGAGCGCGGACATCTCCTTCCTGTTTAAAACCACGGCCTCCTCGGGTGTGTTCCTGGAAAACCTGGGCATCAAAGACTTCATCCGCATCGAGCTGAGCTGTGAGTCCAAACACTTAACATTAGATGATGAAGTGGAACTTGTGTTCAGTTGTTGGACCTGTGAACACTTGAAGTTAGATTTAGTCTCTTGTTTGAGGCCTGTTTGGAGGAAACTGGCTGTTATTAAGATTAAACCCATAAAGAGCCACTCATAATTACTGTAATCTTGTTTTTACAGGAATTAATTTTACAGATGTTTCACGAACTCACAGGTTAATTTTCACCGTGACCCTGAATCAATTCCTGTCTCCTGCATAACAAACACTTTCCCAGGCATCACAATGTGTCGTTTAGATGATGACAGTAATAACCGACTGTGTGTTGTGCGGTTTATGGGTGCCATGGAAACGTGTCAGGGTGGCAGAGCTACGTTTATAGCCCGTTATAGATTGTGTGGTTTGAAGTATAGCTGTATTACCCAACAAGGTGTCCTTGTGCTTACATGGCTGTGGCAGTAACGTACTGAGGTATGAATTACACATTTATGGGCAGCGATGGTATGTGTCATTAAAAAAAAAAAAACCCTGCGTAGATGCCATGAATCACTTATTGCAGTCGTACGTGTTTGGAATCTTTCATTTCACTTGATTCTTTTCGGCTACAATCCCCGACTGTACCAAAAATATATACACACACTGCACATGTTGATGTAAACAGGGATTTTTGCATGTCGCACAAATGATATCTCGTCTCCTACAAATGTAAACAGTTGTATCATTGCAGAATTTAACAGCACAACAGCTGTTAGCAAAGTCAACAGGGTCAGACACGCTTTAATTGTTTTTCCCTGGTAGCCGAGGCTCATTCCAACTCTTTTCCTTTTTTTTAAATGAACACGTAGGAGCATGGATGCTGCTTTGGTTTAGTTTACTTTTCTGTTTCAGTGGCTCCTCTTGTGTTTTGTTGCACTTTGGAGGAGGCTGCCTCAGAAATTGGATTTAAGGGACACACACCCAGAATCTAATACAGGGACACTGCTGCACCGACAGCCTCGCTCCTCTGGGGAAATCATTGTCCTTGTAGTTGTTCCAGCTCTGAATACTGCTGCTGTGTTCTCGCCTGCCTCTGATCGCTGTGTTACACCGTGGCCGGGCCTGAAAACAGTTTGTAAATGAAGTTACCGTGGGATCCTCGGTCCATTGTTTCATTTTGTTGTGTACTCCTGGAGAGAGTCGTCCTCTCTCTCCACCAGCCGAACACGACGAGCGATGGTTTCCTTCGTCTGAGTCTTTTGTTGGAGAGACTCCGAGCCGAGGTGCTGTCCGTGGTGCTGAGTCAGGGCTGCACCGATTGGGGATGAGGCTCTGGCCGTGGTCCTGAATGTGATGCTGAAACATTTACATCTCATAGTTAATATTTTCATAACAATCAAAAAATAATATGACGCAGTGACATACATCTGCTTCTCCTGGCGACAGAGTCATTGTCTGCTTTATCAAACTGTAGGACGTTGAATACATCATCTACAGAACATCAATCACTTTCTACCTCCCTTAAACTTCTCGTTTCCTCTCTCCCTCCTCTGTTCTTCCGTCTCTCAATCAGCCTCCACTCAGGTGCTTTTCTCCTTCGATGTCGGTAACGGTCCACTGGAAGTCCGCGTGGAAGCGAAGGCCCCACTGAACGACAACAGGTGGCATCGAGTCCGAGCCGAGCGGAACATCAAGGAGGCGTCGCTTCGGTTGGATGAACTTCCTGCTGCCACTCAGGAGGCGCCTGCTGACGGACACTTCCACCTGCAGCTCAACAGCCAGCTGTTCATAGGTGAGGAGCCTCGGCCGTCTTATTATATTAAATCACTTCCTTTGTTTCATTTCAAAATAATGTGAGACAGAAAACCGTTATTTATTCTCAAGGCCTAATAAATGTGTTGAATGCATTTGGTTCCTCCTCGTAAATAAAAACGAAGAAAGATTTACTTACAATAATCAAAAGGTGCTGACAAAGTGAACGTGCAGAGTTCAAACTAGTTTCAGTGATATCCATGACTTTGGGCAATTTTACAGTTTGGTTGAATTCAAGGAAACTATTGTCTTTAGGTGGAGGTATCTGCATCTCATTCAGTTCTGCTGTTTGGCCAAGAAGACTCGATAAGTCGAGGGATCAGCTTGAACAGGATGTTACTCAGTGTCGTGCATCCCTGTGTAGTTCGCTTTAAATCTGACAAAGGGCTAAAAATAGTCTCTTTTTTTTTTTTTACATATGTTAATCTTGTATTGGTGGAAGCTCGTTCTGTGCTCAGCAGTGTTTGGTGTGAAAGATGCTGACTCTGCAGAGTCGATTCTACCGGGAATCCACAACCCTCTCCATCCGCAGCACCACACTCCGAACTCCTGCAGACTGAGATACAGGAAGTCTGACCTCCTCCTGCCGTCCTGCATCCCGAAAATGAGAGAGAGATCTCGTGATTCAACGACCTGAAGCGCTATTGGCTGAAAGCTGCTCGCTGGATATGAAAGTGCTGAGTCGATGGTTTGTGACCACAGAGCAATAATCTCGTTCAATAATAAACGTGCAGCGGGGAGCAGTGATTATAAATATAGTGTGAGGGGATTTCTTGGAGCGAGGGTCTTTAAATAATCTGTAAATGAATAACCTGTAAGTTATTTATCAGCAGTCGCTCTGCACAGCTCCTCGGCTCCTCAGCTCCTCGGCTCCTCAGCTCCTCGGCTCCTCAGCTCCTCAGCTCCACACTGTGTCACTTCACATCAACAAACACAGTGCGGAGCGAAACAAACCGGCAGAAACTGATGAGATCTGCGGCAGCGGCAGGAAAATAAAGGTTAATATTGATTGGCTGAATGTTTTCAGCCGATAATCCGCTCTGAACAACCACCAGGTCAAACCCATATATGTTCTCCTCTGACTTATACGACAGAACACTGACGACTGAACGCAGATGTGCTGAATGTGTGACTGAAGGGATTTGATTTGCAGACATGAAGAATTGCACCCTTCCTTTTCAGTGTGAGAAAAGTATAATATATTTTCTGTTAAACTGTACATAAATTATCTGTTTAGAGCACTGGCTTAGTGCATGAAATATAAATACTAAGTAAATATACAGCGGGTATAAATTAGCATTAATATCAGCTCAGCTCTTTTGCAATCACAAGCTACAACGTTGCTGCACAAGCTGCGTTATCGTGCACTGATTATTTATGAGCTCCAGCCTCCGACAAAGTCAGGAAAAATATTTACTTTTCTTTGGATTTTAATCTTTTCTTGCATTTTGAATAACTAAGCCGTATTATTATGTGCATTGGATTTATGAGACTCGGGTTTAAAGTCTTGTTGTAATTGTCCTGTTGGAATTTATAAACCATAACTCCCCAAACAGTGTTTTTATTAGTCTAATTATTCCTTGTACAGATTTATAATGCGGTAAATTACATTGTCTCAGTTAATAGCCCATGCTATTGCCTTGACTGGAGTTATAATCCATAGGATTGTTTTTCCAGATTCTTTATGGCCTGATATTTGTCAAAGTGAAATATTCACACGCAGCACATTTCACTTGTAGGATTTTTTTTTCATTCACTACGAGCAGCAATTTCACATTATCTGCTGTATTGTCTGGTTTGGAGAGATAAGCAGTTTGTTGGAGCTCCATCAGTGTTGGTGTGTTCAGAAATGTGTTTTGTGACTGGTAGAATAAACTCGGTATTTGCAATTAGTTTGAAAAAAAAAAAAAAAACCTGGTGTCATCATTTAGCTCTTGTTGATATTGGATTTTAATGTTTTTATCCGATCTGCAATTTAAAATAATCGGGCTTTTTAATGACGAACTGATCCTTGTTGTTTTTGCAATATCCTATCGTAAACGTACATACGTGCTGAAACACATAATAAATCAACAGAGGCGTCATTTAGTTTTTATATTTAACAGTTTAACCAGTCGAGAATTTTAAATATTCTCAGGTTGAGGATTTATTTATTTATCTTTGACTAAACCGTACACAGTATTTTGGATTCGGGTTTGATTCCACACTTTTTAAGTCATTTTGCTGAGGAACAAACAAACGTTATCTGTCAAATACGCAGCAGATGGATAATTTCTGTTGGGATTTTACTGAACCCGTGCCTGTGATTTTCTGCTCTCAGCTACAGAAACTGTGCTGAAGCTGTGGAGTTTTCTTCCTCCAACGAAGTGCACTCTTTCTCTCTCTAGACTTTTGAAGCTAGAGGTTGATGCTCTTTTGTATTTCCAGCCACATACTTTGCCTTTGATCACGGCCTTGATCTCATGTAGAGATGCTGTAATTGTCTTGTTAGAGCTGAGCTTGTAGACGAGGTTGAAACTCCCACTGATCTCGAAGGTCTCGCTGATAGACCTGCTGCTCTGGTCAGAGGTTTTCTGCTCTGGGATTTTTTTGATCTTGGCTTTGATATTCACCCTCTAAACCTCATTATGCTTTTTATAAATGATCTCAGTGTCGTGGAAGTGATACCTGGAAGCTTTGGGGCATTCCCCATCTCTTGGGTGCCGTCACACTATAGAGCCGACTTGATGGGGGGGGGTGAAGTTCCCTCTAGAATTCCTCTATAAGTAAAGAAAATGGGATAGTTTTGTTTTAATAAAGATGCAGCGCAGTGAGTTGAGTTTGAGGTTCTTTATGGTTTCTCTTTTTAATCGTGACCCTGTCATTTCAATTGTCATGTCCAACATATAATGCCATGAACTATACGAGAATAAAACTGTGAAGTGCCCTTTAAATAAAGAACGTGAGCTGCTGTGCTCTGTGAAGAGAATTATTATAAATGTCATTCTTGATCAGATTATTTTATCCCACAAAGCAGTTGCTGAGGTATTTCGGTCCCGAACAAACTTGTGGACCAAGTGACAGATTTATGTTTCCATCTTTCTTTTTTAAATTGCAACGGTGGCAAGTTCAAGTTAATATTTAAGTCTCATTCAATAAAGAACAGGTAGAATTAAAAAATATGAAAGTTATGATATCGTCTTTATTGTCCTGTTTCCGCAGCCTGTACAAACCGCAACAGGAATATACAGATGTTTACCCTCACATACACATGTAATATACATACAACACAAATGGATAAATCTTCGCAGGTTCGATTTCTCCAGTAATGTCTCTCAGAAAAATCCAATTTCATCCCCAGCGTCTGTGCAGAAGCGACAGGTCGTCAGATTTGAATTCTTGCTGACAGCACAGTGTGTGTAAAGGTGGACATGTATTCATTAGATCATTTCACTGCCCTTGGGTCTGAACCCATTATTTGGACGAATCTGACAAATTGCAAGTGACGTGCTGGGGATGGTGGGAGGAGAAGTGACGGGGAGGAAGGGAGATCTGGCTTCCTGCTCCACACACACACACACACACACACACACAGACAGTGTGATTCAGCTCGACCGGCCTGTTCGCCCTTCATCAGCTAGAATGATTCTTTTCAGGCAGACCTAACGACAGCTGTTAAAAGTTATGTCCCCAGATCAGTTGACCACCGGCAGTTGTTGTTGCCTGATTGGTGTTTCCTCCTTGTGTCATTTCACGAGTGTTGACAGCTGCAGAAGAAAAACTCAGAATCACACAGACTTGTCAACACTCATATTTGATGTCTGTTGGTGAAGTATAATTCTCTGCTTCCATGTGTTCAGGAGGCACAGCGTCCAGACAGAAGGGCTTCCGGGGCTGTATTCGCTCTCTGCAGCTGAACGGCGTCACCCTGGACCTGGAGGAGAGGGCGAAGATCACACCCGGGGTTCGACCCGGCTGCCCGGGTCACTGCAGCAGCTACGGCTCGCTCTGCCAGAACCAGGGCCGCTGCGTGGAGAGAGCCAACGGCTTCCACTGTGACTGTGGCCTGTCAGCGTACACCGGGGTCTTCTGCCACACAGGTACCGTCCACGTGTTACTGAGCTTCACACTCATCAGGTGTTAAAAAAACTAAAAATGAAATAAACGATAAGAGGAGACTTGAGACTGTTATTCAGAACATGTGGGTGTTTGTCTTTTTAAAGGTTGAGAGTCTGTTTAAATCCAGTGAACCTTTCAGTGCGGTGAAACACTCAAGTATTTAAAGGTTCCATGCAAACTCGGTCTGAGTGATTTCCATCCATTCAAACCATTTGTTTGCTTTTAAATTTATTGCATTAAAGATCGTTCATCACATTGAACTCTGTATCTGGGTTTAACAACCTGAAGTGAGTTCAACTGCAAGAGAACTCAATGCACTTTTCCCACAGACGATCAGATCTTCATCAGCACTATGAGGCACAGATGCAATTTATTATTATAGTATTGAAAATATGTGGAAAGTTGCTTCAAATATATTAATTTCACTCGGCCCACTGTTTTCATCCAGATATTGATCAACTATTCTGCTGGAGAGAGTGAAAGAAGTGCTGCCAAGTAAACAAAATTATGATTCTACTTTTCAGTAGTGTCCCTGACTTATTGTTCAGGAAACTGAAAACAGAATAATCTAAACACCTGGATACAATAAATAAAATCTAATCCAGAAACCCTGCATCCGATTTTCAAGAACATGTCTCAATGGTAGTTGATCGGTAAATAATTATAGTAATTGTATGCAACCTCCAGAGGTGTCGGCCACCTTCGAGTCCACGACGTCCGTCAGCTACACCTTCAAGGAGCCGTACGAGTTGATGAGGAACAGCAGCGCCCTGCCGTCCTCCATCTACTCCGACATGACGCTGAGAGGAGAGAACGTCTCGCTGAGCTTCAGGACCAATCAGAGTCCAGCTCTGCTGCTCTACGTCTCCTCGTATTACAGAGAGTACCTGGCCCTACTCATCAACAAGCACGGTGAGGAGGACTCCAGGCTTTTATTTTGAAGGAGTGTGTTTGCTCTTCTCCTCCCTGGTTTCTCCTCCTGTTAACCTCCATTTTCCACATCTTTTTCTTCAGATCCGTAAGATTAAATGTCCTTATAATCCTCCTTCCTCCCTCTGCCTCCCTTCATCTTCTACCCCTTGAACATTTCCCCTCATCTTTCCCTTAATCGCATCTCTTCCCTCTTTTCTGATTTGTTTTTATTTTTTCAAACAAGAGTTTTTCGTCTCTTCCTTTCTCAACATTTTCCAATTACTTTCCTCTCCTCACATCTCCTCCGCTCTTCCTCTCATTGCTGTCATCTCCTCTCGATAACGACCTCTCCTCCCTCTGCTCCTTCCTCTTCCTTCCTTCCTCCTCCTCCTCCTTTGCTCCGCAGCGTTGCCAGATCTATCAGGATCTGTCAGATCTCTCTTCTCTCTGGATTCAACCCGTCAGTCTCTACTGGCTTTTAATCTGTCCAGCTGGGTCGACTGGCTGGAAAAAGAAATAAAAAAAGGTGTTCAGTGGTTTTATCAGTGGGAGCTGATGGGTGATGCTGAGGGAGGAAAACTTTGCTGCAGCTTTTAATGGGTGACAGGTCAGTGTGCTGCAGAATAAAACAGCAGAAAACTCGCTGATGTGTTTTATAAACTCTGGACTCGGATGATGATGTTGTGAGTGAGTTTGGCTTTTAAGAGAAGGAGGCACTTTGAATTTGAAATCACATTTTCTTCTTCCAGGAGTCTAATAAAACAGGCACTTTGCTGTTAGATTAGCTGTAAATGGATTTTTCTGCTGTTAATGACTCACAGCTGACGGACAGCAGTGCATTAAGGTTTCCTGTTGACTGTGGAGTTGTCAGGAAAACGTTGTTAATGATGAAATTCCAGAGAGCTTTTTATTGTTTATTCCCCTTTGCCCTCTGCGGCTGTTAAACCTTCTCAGACCAAACGCAATTTCTTTGTCACTATTTTCACTGTTATCAGGAGCAACAGCTATAAGAAAGACAGATACGTGTTTGACATACAGAGAACATATTAGTGTCATATTGTTTGTGGTAAAATGTAGATGTAGGTTATTCTGTATGCACCTGGAGGACAGACTTCACTGGGTTTTCATTAAATCTTAATGTTCTGAAAATTAATCTGGGCTGGAGTTTTGTTATTGATAGAAAAATTAAGTCCTAATGCTCCTGATATAAAAAGCTTCTTTGAGTCAGATGCTCGATTCGTGAAAATGTTTTCAAGAGGAAAAGATTCAATTTAAAATAAGTGTGTTTATCTGTGTGTGTGTGTGTGTGTATGTGTGTGTGTGTGTGTGTGTGTGTGTGTGAAGATAAGCTGGAGGTGAGGTATAAACTGGACAGCAGCAGAGAAGCAGAAGTGCTGAGGAGCAGAGTGAAGAGTTTGGCCAACGGACAATTACACACTGTTACTGTCAGGAGACTGAGCAACTCTGTGTCTGTGCAGGTAACACACACACACACACACACACACACACACACACACACACACACACACACGTGCACAATGTAGTCTACTACTTCCTGCAGAGAGTTAAATAAATGCAAAGCTCAATATTTTAAGATAATGACTGTGAAAAACATAAAAGTAAATATAGCATAACAAGCTAATATGAGCTTATTCAACCTGATAATCAATATAAAATATGCAGCCAAGATTTACAAGAATTTATTTTCCAATAAGTTCAAACTTTAGACAATAGCAGATGATTTCAGTCTGCAAAAATAAGAGATGGTCAGTTCATCGTGTTTCATAATAAAATCTGGAGCAGCGACAAGAAGAGATAGAGTTTGCGAATATTTAGAAAATGGTGGCTGCCTGATCGAGGGTATTTTCATAAACACCGAAAGTGGAATGAACATAAATCCAGGTGGTTGTTGTTACTCGTTTTGATTTGCTCACGGACATATGGCTTTTAAAAAAGATGTTGTTGTAGTTCTGGAGATAATGAGTTGGCTGCTCTCGCTCCAGAAAGCACAGTGTTGTAATAGTGGAACTGATGGAACACACACGGTGGCTCACATGAGTGTTTGTGTGTGAAGTGTTCTTCCCCCGGTGATGATGGCGGAGCTCCGGCAGGGCGGCCGGGACAAACTCCCCGTTCAAGCAGCCGCACATGAGAAATGAAGCATCTTAATCATATCTGGATCTAGTGAAACTCTTGTCAGCCTCACGTGATAAATGATGTTAACTTCATCTAACCCAGACGCCTGAATGTATAATTATCACCATGGCGATATGAAATATAAGGTGACCTCGTCTTGCATGGGTTCAGCCCCTCCCCCCCACCCTCCAGTGACATATGAGGTGCATCTCATCTTGTCGGCACCTATCACCTTGAATCATTATGTCGTTAGCGACACACTCCGGGGACGTCGGGCGAACCTGCGACAACACTTTCATCCAGCTGGTTGCCGGTTGCCGGCAGCGTCGAGTCTCCACATGGACAGAATCACGTCCTCGCTCCCCTGAGCTGATGTCCCGTTGAAAAATGACTCACTGTGGGCGACCAACACGCTGCGTCCTGTTATCAGAGAGGCCAGAGTCTGCGTGGGCCTCTGAGGGGTTTGATGTTCAGCTCACAGCCGACTCAATATCAAGTTCAAACACGGGGAGGAGAAATATTCCAGGTTATAACGTCCAGAAACTCATTGTAAAATAAATCATGTTGATTTAGGGCAAAGGAAACTTTATCTGGAGCGGTTTGATATCAGCATAATCGACTTATAACCATTTTCTGTGCTTTATTTAACCTTTGCAACTTTCCTTTAACCCTTTAATCTGTCTGTTCACGAGGTGGAGTCATCCTGGTTGAGATTAAATACACAATCTATACCCACAGAGTCAAGTTAAACATTAGACCGTAAAGTGACTAAAAGTTTTGTTGTTTAAGTTTAGAGTGGAACTAGTTTTGACTAGTGTCCCTCCTCACAGCCACACGGTGAGTCTCCCTCATTAAAATAATGTCCACTGGAGGTTTTCCCCTCAGAATGTTTTCACGGATAGAGTTCGGAGTCTGTCCATCATTTCTCCCACTGAGCTGCAGAGCTGAAACAAATCAGAAGCTTTAACGATCATTTAACTCAACTCATTCAGACGCCCACAGTTTGTATGATGCTTGAAAATACAGTTTAAAGTGATAATTCCTTTTTCCAACGATCAACGAGAAACTTTTTTTTTTTATTGGTTTCAGATCAACCAAAACACCAGAGAGGACTTCAACCTGTCGTCTGACGGAGAGTTCAACGCCATCAAGTCTCTGGTGCTGGGCAGAGTGCACGGTGAGCGAGGACGCCGTAAAAGCAAAGACATCTTTTTACTAACACAGCGCTCATTTGAATATCGGCTCTAAGAACTTTGGCCAGATTTAATTAAATACAGACTGTGAATGTCTCAGGCTGTTATTGATGTTTCAGAGGCTTTTCTTCTCATTCTGCTCAGAAACTTGAATTACTCACATGAAGTCGATCAATATGGAAAAATATTAAATGCAAAATTATCATCGGTGGCTTCAGCCCTAAAAAATCTGTGTAGTTGGTTTTAAATATCAATATAAATAAATAAATACACATTTTAAGTTCAGGCAAGAACATATCTCACATATCTTATGGACTGAATCATAATAAACCCTTTTGTCTTTTTGCATGTTCAGTAAATTCAAGTTTTTTAACCCCGTCATGTCCACGTGAGACACGTTGTCCCCTCTGTCAAACCAGAAGCGACAGAGTCAGATCAGAATCAGAAAAAAAGCTGCAGGAAAGTGGATTTTCTGTCGTTTCCTGACAAACTCATCGTCCATCAGCCTGACTAATGCACCCGGACTGGAGACAGAGAGAGAGAGAGAGAGAGAGGTGATGCAGCCAGGAGTGTACGAGCTGAGAGCAGCGTACAGGCTGCTGTCATGTTTCCTGCTGCTCATCACCGTGAACACGTCCCGGTAACAGTCACAGTCGTCCCTCGGTCGTCTGAACAAACACGGAGGTGTCCGGTTAACGTCGGCTCTCACAGCTGTTGTTCCCACTGCTGAGGAGGAGAGGAGGTGAAGGATGGAGGGACTGAAGTCAATGAAATGAACAGAGAGAGAGAGAGAGAGAGAGTACACATCTGTCTGGTGCAGTGATGGACTGACGGTGTGTCGACTGTAATGAGGGAGCGTGTGTGTGTGTGTGTGTGTGTGTGTGTGTGTGTGTGTGTGTGTGTTGGACGTCCTGCAGGATCGGCTGGAGACTGAGGATGATTTTTGTTTGTTTGTGTCGCGCTGGAGAAAAACATGTGAATTAAAGGATTGTTACTCAACATGATGAGTGAATGACATGTTTGAAAGGTGCTTGTTCACTTTACATCATCTTTTATTCTCTTTTGCTGATTCCACAATAAAATCATGTATCAGCTCCATTATTCAGAAAGAGTCAGTTCTTATTCACTTTATCTGCATCGGTGGGAAGGAAAAAGAAAGTAATTATGTCTAATTCAAACATAATATAGTCGATCATCTATTTTTTAGCATCGTGTGATGAAACTAGAAAAGGGAAATAAGGTTCAGGGAAGAATTGAAATGAGCTGTTACCTTTTATTTTCAAATTTTAAAAAAGTATAAAAATGTAATTAGTGTTTCATTTAAATTAATTTGCTTCATATTCGGCTCCTCTCGTCCTCAGACTCTGACGAGTTGGATCCAGAGCTGTCCAGGCTGGCGTCTCTGGGTTTCAGCGGCTGTCTCTCAGTGCTCAGCTTTAACTCCATCAGTCCTCTGAAAGCCGCCGTGCTCCACCCGGACACCAGCCCCGTCATCATCAGCGGACCTTTACTCCGCTCCAGCTGCGGTTCCTCGGCTTCGGCCAATCCCTACGCAGCGGAGAACAAACACCACCTCGCCACAGGTGACATGGAGGAGCTGTGTTTTTGTATGTATGTGTATTCAAACAGAGTTAAAGCCTGATGCTGCTTACGTCAGAAGACTTATTCAGATCTTCAGTTTATCTGTCCGTCATTCTTGTGAATTATAAATCGCAGGAACACGATAAATTAATTTTTATTTCTAATTTCACTGCGACTCAAGAACTAGAAATAGCTGAAAAAATATTTTTGGTCAGGAAGCTCCAGAGGGAATCTCTTTTAAAAACTGACTGAAACGTTTGCTTGGACCCGAGGATGACCTCGTTCCACCATTACCTGTCTATGGCTGATGAACTCGATATCTCTGGTCATAATGTCTGAAGGGAATTTCTTCAACTTTGGGACAAATGTTCACTTGGACTCAAGGAAGATCACTGTGACCTCACAAATCCCTTCTTTGCCTCGTGAACGTGTTGTCTCAAGGTCAAGGGTCAAAGTCCTGTAGTCCCCATAGGAGGTTAGAAGAGAACATGTGGAAACTACACTGGTCGTCATATATATATATATATATATATGCCCCTTTTTATCGTGACGAACAGACGTATTGTTGGTTTATGATCTTTTCGTGCACTGGCTTGACAAACGTACACTCAGTTGTCAGCTTTGTTTGAAAAGTATTAATTAAGAAGCCACCGTCGGTGCAGCTGACAGTGACAGCAACACTGGAGTCTGTCTTTTAATTCGTTTACCCCTGACACTCTCATTGTGTCGCTTGACAAGACGCTCAGCCCGTTCAGACGCCTTGTGGCTCAAAATGAGCAGCGACGCAAAGTTAGCAACACCCGGTGAACCGCTGTTCTTTAAATCAGGGACGTTTCTGATTGTGTTACTGAAGCTCGTTAGTCGTCAGTGGGTTTCTGTCCACCTGCTTTAGAGTTGAATCCTTCAGAGGAAAATAATTCACCTCCTGTTTGTGATACTTTATTAGAGTCAAAGAGTTGCTGTCGTTATTCTCCATCTGCTCTGAATGATTATGCTCTTATCTCTCCTCTTTCACCCCCCCCCTCTCCCTCTCTTTCTCTTTCTGCTCTGATCTCTTCATTTTTTGGTTCTTTTGTCCATTTCCACTTTTTTCTTCCTCCTTTTTTTCCCCCTCACATTTCTTTGTGGCCTTTGATTTTTCATTTTGCCTTTTTCATCTCACTCCTCTCCTCCGACTCTAATGTTTCCCTCTCTGCTCTTCTCGCTGTAGACCTTGGTTCAGTGGGTTCAGGTCAACCTTTAGTAAATGCCATGAGGACCGACTCGGCTCTGATTGGAGGTACTGAACCATCTTTCTCTGCACTCGTACAGGGACTCATTTCATCTGGTGTCAGTCATATAAACACTTTGCTTATTAAGTTATTGTAGGTTGAATATTGAATTTTGTAACAATTATTATCCATAAAATATTATATGTACATAATTCTTCTTATTTTTTTTTTCAAGATCTCTTATTTGCTGGAAAACAGCTGAAAGCTCTTCATCTCTTTCCTGGTTTAAAAAGGAAAATCAGACATATTCATGTGTTGAGATCTTTGAGTTTGTTCAGCTTAGTGCAGATAATCAGACTATTTGTCATGTATTCATTTCTGTATAAAGAGCCAGACATGTGTGGGATTGTTTGTCCTTGGTGGAGATATGTTCTCTCCGTCTTTCTGTTTTGTGTCGGACGCATTCTGAACTAAGCGATGCGTCACCCGGTGAACAAAGTTGTGGACAGATGTTGAGCTCCAACAAATGTGTCGGAGCAGGACTCCTTTTAAAACTCATTTAAAACTTTGTTGCTCTGCCAGCACAGATTGATTTGAAGTGAGGGACTGGAGGTTCAATCTATAGTGGAGATAGAAGAAGGTGAGACCCTGAGAAAAGTCATTTAAAAGTGTCCATTAAACCGGCCTGACTCACCTAATTAAACCTGAGCAGCAACCACTTGCTGGTGTTAGAGCTCGTTCTCTGTTATCTTAAAAAATGGTCTTTTTAATATAATGTGGTATTACATTGATTTCAATGGTACTTTCCAATTAAATTGAACCTCAGATCATATTCTCCGATGTGCTCAATAGAGCAGCAGCTGAAGAGATTTGAATTGGTGTTTAATGTCCTCGAAAGTTCGTCATTAAAGGGAATAAAGTGACTGTAGGGAACAGATGGCATTCATTCTTTTAAAAATCGGAGATCTCAGCCTTTCTACATCTTACAATGTCCTTTTCCTTGCAGGTGTGATAGCGGTGGTGATCTTTGTGATCGTGGCCGCCCTGGCGATAACGGGCAGATTCCTCTACCGGAGGAAAGAGACGTATCGAAACCAGGAAGTGAAGGGGGTCAAACGGGAGGACAGCCCAGATTTTCCTTTCAACAACCAGACTGACTCCCAGAACGTCTGCAGTGAAAACCGAAAGGAGTATTTCATTTAGCCGGAGCCGACCTGATGAACCGGTGGTTTTCGGAGCTGAGGTGCAGACGCCTCAGAACCTCTCGCTGCACTCAGAGCCACTGGAGACTTCTTTCACAGAAGTTGCTCTGCAGCATGTGGAGGCAGAAACTGGACAATTTGCACACGGTGTTGTTTTTCTGTTCCTTTTTCTGTACATTGTGAAAACTGATGCAAACGGGAAACAGTGTTGGACTTTAAAAAAGGTGTCGATGTCCGTGTTTCATCTGTAAATATTCAGAAATGTAAATGCTGAGTTCACGTCTTTGTAACAATCTCTGGCTAACGTCACTTTGTCATATTGAAACGTTGAAAATCGTGGAGGTGTCAGTATTTTTATGGTGTTTGGGAAAAGTGTTTTTTTTTTTTCTTTTTCTTGCAGAGGTCAAGACAAACTCTTTTACATCATCACTTTCTGAACTCTGGGGATATTTTAGGTCTTCAACTTTTAGGATTTGTCTTTCTCACCTTCAGTCCACTTATTTGTCATTTTCAACCCTTCCTTCTCTTGGAGGATTTCAGTTCTACCACAGTTACTCCCGTTTCTGCAGAAGCAGCTGTGCAGATATCTGAAGCTCGGTTTGACTGAAGCACATCAAAGTTGCTTCTCTTATGTAAATTTCCATTTGAAGGACTCCAGCTGGTTTCTCCTGCAGAAACTTCCCCACAGTACGACTTCTTAGCTTCACGTTTCAAGTGATTCAGACAACGTTGCTCCAGTCAAACTAGATTCCCACTCGATTCCTTTATGAAACGTGTTTGACTGTGAAGTCAACGGGTTGAGATATCAGAGGTGGACTGACGTGGGCATTCAGTTTGTTCTTTCCTTCTTTCTTTTCCGACCACAAAAAGCCATTATATCTTTTTCTTTTTCTCTCTCCTCCCTGCCGCCGGCCGCCCGCTGGAAGCTTCCTCTCCCAGCTCTCTGAGCAGCAAAGCTTTTAACACTGACGGCAGCACAGGCTCTGTAACACCGGGCCTGTCTGTCACCTCGCTCGCTGCACGCACAGACGGTTTTTTCAAATGCTAATCTGCTTCGCTCTGACAGGTGGATTGTGAAAAGCAGCGAGTTGATCAGAATGAGGCGGTGAGATAATCCAGGAGGCGTCAGGCAGACATGTAATGAAAACACATTCTGATATTAGCACTGGAAACGACGCCGCGTGTGTTAATTCAGCTCATGTGTAAAGAGGAGCTGCCGATGGAGGGAAGCTGAGAAGCAGAAAGAGGATCGACAGCAGCTGTTAAACAAATATACACCACCGTCTCTCTCCGCCAGGCCCCAAAGCACTGATGGGATTTTAATGAGATAAGTTGCTAAAACTTTAAAGTGCATTTTTAATGGTTTCACACACACATGAGATTTTACACCACAGACAACAGCGCTATGTAAAGATCTGGTGGAGCAGAGACGTCTGTCTGGTCACACAAGCATGAGCAGAGTGTTCAGATGAAAGTGAAACAACTTTGTCTGATAAAGATAAAACCAGAATCCAACGAGCTGCTGAAGTTCTGCAGCTTGGCTCTGATCAAGTTTCTCCTCTGGTGGCTGTTCATCGGTGGCCGGCTGGGACTGCGGAGAACAAGGCAAGCGGTGACGTTGTGGCTGAAGAAAGGCCAGAGTTGGTTTTGGGCTGAGAGAATATCCAATATATTTATAAACCTTTAATAATAAGATTCGTCATCTCCCACAGACCAGGTCTCTACAGCAGTGACGAATCTTTGTCGTGAAAGCATCTGATGTTTGTCCGTCAGTTTATTCTGGACTGAAATATCTTAATACTCTAGCGTTTCAGTTTTCTTTTTACTGCTGATTATGAAATTGTGTACGAAATGATCCACGGATACAAAACTGACCGTTCACCTTCAATCACCATGTTGAACTTGCGACCATATACCGTAAGTTAGCATGCTAACTTGGTAAACCTGCTAGGAAACAACATGCGGTAGCTCATCTCGCCACAGGAGCAGTTAGCATTGATGTGATCATCACATGATTGAGCCCAAAGATTCATTTAAACCATGAATAATTAAACAGAAAATTCATTTACTATCAGTCGAGCTGCTCCACTGTATCTTTACATTGTTTAACTTAAAATATCAAGAATGACGATTTTGCTGGAGGTTTCATCTTCTCACGGTTTCTTGTCAGTGTCGCTATAATAATGTGATGGTACATAATGTTGGTGAATATCAGTGATGTCAGTGAGTGAAACACCATAAAAAAATATATATATCCAGGAGATTCAAACCATTTTCTGGTTGTTTGGTTACAAACTAAATCCTGTTTGATGAAAATAAACTTTTTTTCCACAGACTGAGGATGATTTGTATTTTGTTGGGTGATACTGGAACCCAGAGGCTCCTGATCCCTCATTGATAATCTGTTAATACGCAGGTTTCAGGTGAAGCTTACAAATGTAGAACTGCAGGTAATTTAAAGATTAAGATCTACGGTGAGGTGTAAGAAGAGAACGTAGAAGAATAAGTCACAGTGAGTTCATGCTGTTGAATAATGTGCTGTATCATGGATTTCCTCTTCAAGTAATTTAAAGATTGTGATCAGAGAAACTTCTCTGGTGTCATCTTTTCTTACAAATTACACCTTCTTGTGTTTTAAGTGCAAATACTTTCATTTAATCCACTTACAAGTAAGATCTCTCTTACCGACTTAAGTAAAATCAAATGTTCTACAGTGGTTGCCACTTCGAGATATTTGCAGCAGATAGTGTCATAATATCGCTGGTTATAAATATACAGCCGGAGACGTCCACAAATATTAAATTAATTACAGAATTTAATGCAGAAATGGTGGTTTCGACACAGATGGTGTCACTGCCTATAGCTTGAAATGTGATGTATTGGTCAAGCATTCTCACTGAAGACTCCAGCGTCACATCAGACTGGATCCATCACCAGCCATCCGAAAGGTTAAAGTGACATTTAACAACTTCCTCCGAGCCACAGCTCATTGTGAAGGTGCCAAACTGCCCGTCAACTTCACCGCCCCTACGAGCCAAAGGTAGAAAATACCGGCGAGACTTGGTCCTTTCAAGACGTGCAACGATAAGATGAATCTGGCTAAAAGCAATTTCCTTTTACTTCTCTTATCAAATCCAAACCCATCACAGAGGAAAAGATGTAAACAGACGTAAGCAAGTGGGAGACAGATTTTAAGGCTTTGAGAGGATTTGTTCGAGGATCGAGGAAGATAGTTTGCCACTCAACGTGTGGAAAGTTCCTCTTCTATAGTTTTAACAAAGCAGCGTATATCGGTGGGATCAAATCACTTCCACTAAAGGTTGAATACTTAAAAAGTGAAAACAGCCCTGGATAGCAAATTCAACGGCAGCAATTAAAATTCAGACAATAACGAGAGAGGGAGAGGTTTTCTGGAAATTTGGGGGATTACGCACAAAACATCATGGGGATTCATTACGGTTTTGGAGGGAACATCAGTTGAGGTGGTCCGGGCATCTGATGAGACGCCTCCTGGGGGCCTTCCATTAAACGACACTTGTTAACCATTATCCAAAAGTTTAATACTTGAGAATTACATTAGTTCACCACCTGCATCCATCCAATTTCAACAGATATCCCACTGGACGGGTTAAACTGATGATATCCAGGTTCTATTAAGATGCTTCTCACAAATGTGTGAGGGGAGGTTGGAGGCTAATCTCAACCTGTTGTTCTCAGTGAATTATTTCACACCTCAATGCTTCACCTGAACACACAGTGAGAAAGATTTCTCATGGAGCAGATGAAGTAGAATTTGGTGTTTGCCGTGAATATTTTATCAAGAGACTCAGTTTGAGAGCAGCTCGACCAACGCTGGAGAAAACACACTTAAAATAACAATCCCTGGAGAAACTGAGCTAATCGAGACGAGACAGTTTCAAACGAGGATCTCTGCGGACGAAACTTTTAAAAAGGATCATTCTCGTCAACTTCTCTCTCCAAAATATCTCCAGCTTCTCTCTGGCTGCCTCCACACTGGAGTCGGTCGAGATAGTCATCTGTTATCACGGCCGAGCCCCCTCACAGCCTCGCTATCCAACAATAAATTGATTTTCTGAAAAACAGTTTCCCCTCAGCTCGCTCGTACGAGGCAGGTGATAAGCTGTGAGGAAGAGGAGGCAGGCCTTCAACACGGCAGCGGTCAGACAGTCTCAAGTATCAATTAAGAAACCCTGCCAGCTTCGAATCTCGTCGATTACGATGGTAAAGAATTAAATCTGAGAACATCTAGGACATGAATGAGCCTAAAGTTTTGAGTTAAATTCTCTCACTTCAGTGTGGATCTGCGTCTAAAGTTCAAGTGGACGCAACATCTGCTGAGAAACATCACGCAACATATCTCACTATTTATATATTTCCCCAGTTTATCACCTCATAGATCAGATTGGATGTAAGTCAGTTAAACATGTTTTAGGTCTGTTGTTGTTCCCCGTCACAACCTCCAAACAGCAACACACTGATTCTTCTCTAAAGTGGGAGGTACACCAGTTAGACCCGTCCGTCATCACGTCCTTTCACCAACCAGCAGTTCATGAAACGTGCGTGAGGACGACAGAAGTGTTTTAATAAGCAGCCACAATGAAATGAAAAGAGAAATATATTCTCAGTTTTCTGTGGATCTAGTTTCTCTTTGCACTGAGGGGGTCTGGAGAACAGTCACAGCAGTGACACAAGTGTCGTGATCAGTTCCTCTGATTCAGCTCCTGGTTTAACTCTGTTGTTTCTTTGTTTGCTCAGAGAATCAAATACAGAAACTGTTTTTCTCCCTTTTCTGTTTTTTTTTTTTTACAAAGCTTCAAAATCAAATCATCAACGTAACTTTCTCTACAACAACATCCAGCTTTTCCTGGATCCAAAAACTCAAACTGAAGCAAAGCCAGAAACCAGTTTATATACAGACCCGTCAAACACGTACAAGGCTTCCTATTGGACGATTGAATCCCTGAGTAATCAGGCTGTGATCTGTGTCACCTGTAGCGCCACCTGTCTTCACTTCGGTCATTACCTGTGCTCCATCTCATCAAACAGAAATCCTTCATTTCATTAAGCTGTTTTCACACTGGTGTTGGTTATTTGATGATGTGTTGTGTTGTTTTCTGGTCAGAATGAATCTCAGTTCACTCGGTTTGTCTGATGTAAAAACTTTGAGTACCTTGTGTTTTATGTAGTTTGACAGATAATGTGGTATTCTCATCGTTTCACTCCACTCAGCTACTTCATTTGACTAATTCTGAAACTCATAATCCTTTAACTCTGTCGTACTTGACATGCACCTTAAATTTAATTCATTGTGGTTTTAAAAAGTCTTTAATTAAACCTGCAGAAACTCTGTTGATCGCTCCCAAGTATTAAAAATATGAGGGATTCAAGCATCATAAATCTAAACACAATGAACTTTGTTTGCACATCAGGCATCAACACTAGAAACCTGATTATAGAGTAAAACTCACTGGATGAAGAATCTCTCCAGGGACTTTTCTTACACTTTGTGATTGATTAAAACAAACAGAGATTAAACCTGATGACTGTCTCCCTCAGGAAAAAGAGGTGTTGATGGAAAGACTCAAAGAAAAATAACGGATGTTGACAAACTCGGTGGTTTCCAGCGTAGCGTTGCTGCTCCTGTTTGCCGAATGGAATAAAAAGTGGAAACGTGTGTTTTCTAAATGAGCTGAAGGATTCATCAGAGAACAATCACACACATTTCATATGCAAATCAAAGCGGCTGAAGGAAACGAACTGTTCCACCGGGGTCATTTGTGTCTGGTCTCATCTCACATAAACGCTGCCGGTAATTTCAGTGTGATCGTTACGTCCTCCTCTGTTGTCTGGGTGAAGACAAACCACGTCACAGATGTTTATAGGAGCCGTCCCTGAATCACAAACAGGGAGGAACCATCTGATTCAGACGGTGACAGATGAACCACAACATAACGCTGAGGTCTCCTGCAGCTTCTCCTCTCCGACCTGCGCTGACACGGGTCATTGGACGGGATTGTTTTGTGGTCACAGGGAGGAGAAAATAAAATGGAGTTTGGAAACTTGAGGGGCCGCTCTGTGGCCGAGGGTCACAGACACTAATTGGTTTTGCCTCCTGCTTCATTTCTGAACAATGGGAGGAAGTGTTGTTGTCCAGCTATATATATATATARASKMKTATATATATATATATATATATTTAACTAAAGAAAGAAGAAATAAGAAAAGAAAAGCGTAAAAATGACAATTTGTGGTTTCACCGATTTTAAGTGTTTGACAAATTAGATTTCTCGCCGATTAAACAACCAACACTATCTAACATTAATGACCCAACTTTTAAAGGTGCCGGTCGACACTGAGGTCTTTTTTAATTAGATTTTTTATCACTTCTAGAGACGAGCGGCTCACAAACGGGATGTTATGTAGTCTTACTGCTGACAATCCATCTTATTCTCTCTTATTTGCTGTTTTGTTAGTTCAGTTGAGTTTGGTCTCAGCTTCCGGACGCACACGTTTGTTTGTTTTCTGGGGAAACATTTTTCACTCCCAGATTGCTGCTGTCACAGCGTCTCATAAATCACCCACTACAACCCACAGGGAGCGACTTCTCATACAAATATGTACAACAGCATTTTTTAAAAAGTGTGTTAAGAGTGAAATATCCAATTGTGTTCGAATGCCTCCAGTAACTCTGGATAACTTCTCAGAGCTTTGCACAATGTTTCCAGGTCATTTTGCACCACAGGCTGTTCGTTTGAAGACGCCGGGGACGAGCTGATGAGTGAGCAGAGACTGAACTGAGGATTTAAAGGTCAGAAGACAAACTTCACCTGAGGCTGAGAGCAGTTTGGAGCCAGAAGAGAACTTTACATCCACTTAACAGAACTCGTTCAACAAGCTGCTGCATCGACCTCCAGCTGCTCTGAGGACTTCTGCTCGTTTGACCCGCCGAACAACTTCCTGTCATCTTCCTGGAGGAGTCTGAAGTGTTGAGCGCTGTCAGCTCGCCCCGCTCGTCTTCAAGCTCCAGCGGCTCCAGCGGCTCCGCTCCTCGTGGGTCAGAAGATCCCAGAACGACGGCGCTGTGAACTGAAGCATGTTGATGGTGAATGTACAGGGTTTCCCAGCGTGAAGAGCAAGGGTCAGACACCAGGAGAAAGTAATTCTAGAGTCAGCGTGAAGTTTTTACATGAGGACTGGTTTATTCTTCTCTTTCGTATCATGGCTCTACAGATGAATATCTCTCAGGAACCAAATAAAACTATTGGATGGTTACTGTGA